ACGCGTATACCACCTGTGAAACTGGAGCGCGCAAGTGGAATGTGAAAGTTAAAAGTGGAAGTGGAGAGTAGAAAGTGGAAAGTGGAAAGCCGAAGTGGAAAGTGGAAAGGGGAAGTGGAAGGTCGCGCATCCCAGTAGCTGTCCTTCATTGTTTGCTTTTATGTCGGGGAAAGTTTACCTCGATCCAGCAGGAAAAGTTCGCCGCGCAGAGCCACGGTTTACCTCGATCCAGCAGGGATGTTCGCCTTGCATAGCCACAGTTTAGCTTGTTCCAGTAGGAAAATCCGTCTGGCAAAGCCACCGCTGTCTCGATGTGGGTCATGCTAGATGAACCAGCAGTAAATGGTATGCCTACCGCATCCGTCAGGTCGTGTTTTGTCATCTCTTCACTCGCTGCTCTAAAAGAAGGAAGTTACCCAGGTCAAGTTGCTCAGGCTCAACGCACGATTGCTTAAAGTTTTGCATACTTCAGGGCATCTTATCGACGGTTAGTTTCCATATGCAAACCCATCGCTCGACGTGTTTTCTTCACTCTGCACTTTCGCTCATTTGGTAAATCACTGTTTCCGCTTGCGCACACCCTGTGTGCGCAGCTTAGAAACACGCTCAAGCGTGAATGGGGTTCGCTTTGTGTGAGACTTGCGAGCAGCGGCTGGGCGCTTCTTGGTAAATTCGCGTACCTTGGATACCTCTTCTGCCCGTGATTCGATGTAAGGCAGCGAGGCCTTCTGTACCCGACACTCACTGCTCAGCTCGGCGCACCAGGTTTGCCACGTGAGCTCCGTCCAAAGCGAGTTCGTTATAGTCCGTGCCATAAGGATGCGGCTCGAGCACTGGCTTATAGTCGGGTTAGCCATAGCATGAAAGTGCGGGATTTGTTTGCCAAGGGTCAAGATCAGAAGCTTCATACGAAGGGTGCTCTGATGGATCTGCTGTGTTTCCGCGAACCAGTTCTTCACCTCAGAGTGTAGAGCCTCGTTCGACGAAGTCCCTGACGGCAGCAGAGCCAGCACCCTTCGGCCTCAGACGGTGCAATCACAGGAACATGGGGAATGGGGAAGCGCGCAGGTGACGTTGGCTCATGCTGCAATCTGCGTATGTTTTTTTTTCTGAGTCGTGGACCCAGAGTGTGACGCCAACGTAGATTGTTGAATAGCCAGGCGGCCCGATCTGGGTCAGCGGAGCACCAAAGCTTATGCGCCACTCGCTGGTTGGAACCCGTAACCTTGCGGTCCATGTCTTCCGAATACATTGATGACAATGCCGCGAAGCATTCAATGAACTCGAACCTGGACAGAAAAGGTTTTGATGTGTCGAGGTTTTCGACAATCCTTCTGGCTCTGAGCTTGGTCATGGAGCTGTTTTCGATCTGGCTCCGACACACATTTTCAGAGTGACTCAATCCGCCAGTATTGTAGCCCTTGTGGAAATTTCCCCAGTGATCCGCAGGAAGTGACACGCTCACTCCGTTGAACTTGCTCATGACTCGGCGCAGAAAAACTGCACCTGCAGTTTTCTTGCGCCAGGTGGCGTACCTGTCTTGATCACGCAGCTCTACACCTCCATATGAACGTCAAGCTACTCTCAAGAGTGCTTGAGGCCTTTGACTGGTTTCATGCGTTCTTGACTACTTACGAAAGTATCCGTCAAGCCGAGCTGCGCGCACACGATGGACAATTGGATGCCAACACCAGGCATTGTAGGCCTGGCATGATCCGCCGCAGTTGGGTGAAGAGCTTGAGAGAGGCGGCGTCCGACGGAGTGCATTGCACCTGCTGCAGTCCTGCTGCAGGCAACGCCTGGCCGAGGGCCATAGTTACCTCTTCTGCCTTCTCCGAAGACACCGGAATCATGGCCAAAACAGCACCAGTACGCCCTCGCACGGTCAAAACTCGCCTGAGCGAGTCATTATCATCGAACGGCGCTGCATCCCTTTTGTGCTTGAGGCACGGTATATAGGACTCCTGTCCCATGACGCTCATGCAGCACTTGATGGTGGCGTCCAGCGACAAGAACCCGAATTCGTTGGAATTGCAGAATGCGGCCATCATGTCAGAGCTCAAGCTGCGCACTGCTGAGGATGTGAATACGTCCTCAATGCTTGGCCACCAGTGACTGACGTCCGTAGGCAGGAGCGACGTCAGCTGCGACCCTTGCATGCTGATCCACATAGCGAGTCGTGGCTTCGCCTTGCCGAGAATGCAACAATATGATTCAATGATACTTGTTATATCACACCCTCAGCTTACTGTCTGTACGCATACCAGAAACAAATCACCTTTTCCTTAAACGCAAATCCAAGACACCCCAGGCTCGACCCCCAAACTATTCAAACCATCCAAACCTGAGGGTATGGATAGTTGAAACAAAGAGGAATCATCACATTATACATAAAGGTTCTTCGTACACATATGTATGTATGTATATATATATATATCTGCATTCGGAGTCAGCAAAGCTGGCGGACAGAGCGCATGCGCCCACGCCCACGTGTACATTAGAAAATATAGGCGTGCACCTTGGATGCAATCCACACGTGCACCGTCGACGCTGCGGCCCTTTTTGGCTGGACTCTCTGCCTGGCTACTAGCCTGTGCTTCAACGCAAAAAGCGCCTCCTCCTCAGCACTAATTGTACGTATACACCATGTCGGTTACTGGGTCGAGACGTGTTTTGCAATCGAATCTTGCATCGCCTAAGCCATGAGCCCACTTAAGCTCACGATCGCCCTCGCCGGCCTGACGCGCATAGAACCACAACTCGCCGAGATTGTTGCAGGGACAATAGTTGCCTCAGTGATCCCCCCTGCGCACACTGCATCGCAGCCTGCTGTCGTGCTGCTCCTGATGTGCTCTCAGGGCCCGGGCTGTCAGTCCCACCGAACGCGTAGAATCCGTCCGCCTCCGGACTCCACACCGCAGTGTGGGCAACGCGTGCGGATGGCGCCGTGCCATTCGGGCTGAGCTGTTCCCAGCTGTTCGCCTGCGAGACATGTCTGATGCTGCGCATCTCTTCGTGGAAAATTGCCCGCACTTCCAATTGGGAAATGGAAGGTTTCGCAAGGAGAACGCCCTGTGGCTGGGGCTTTGCCTGGCTACCAACCAGTGCTTCAGCGAAACAAGCACCTTGCGGTCATTGGGTCGAGAAGTGTTTAGCAGTCGAATCTTGCATTGCATGAGCCATGAGCCAATTAAGCTCGCCCTCGCCGGCCTGACGCGCGTAGAACCACAAGTCGCCGAGATTCCTGCTGCCTCAGTGATCCCCCCCGCGCACACCGCATCGCAGCCTGCTGTCGTGCTGCTCCTGATATGCTCTCAGGGTCCCGGCTGTCACTATACCCACCGAACACATAGAATCCGTCCGCTTCCGCACTCCACACCGCAGTGTGGCCACGGCGTGCGGATGGTGCCGTGCCGCTCGGACTCAACTCCTCCCAGCTGTTCACCTGCGAGACATGTCTGATGCTGAACATCTCTTCGTGGAAAATTGCCTGCAGATCCAATTGGGACATAAGGTGCCGCAAGGAGAACACCCTGTGGTGGGGCTTTGCCTGGCTACCAACCAGGGCTTCAACGAAACAAGCACCTCCTCAGCATCGTACGTCTACACCCTTTCGGTCACTGGGTCGAGAAGTGTTTAGCAGTCGAATCTTGCATTGCATGAGCCATGAGCCAATTAAGCTCGCCCTCGCCGGCCTGACGCGCGTAGAACCACAAGTCGCCGAGATTCCTGCTGCCTCAGTGATCCCCCCCGCGCACACCGCATCGCAGCCTGCTGTCGTGCTGCTCCTGATATGCTCTCAGGGTCCCGGCTGTCACTATACCCACCGAACACATAGAATCCGTCCGCCTCCGGACTCCACACCGCGGTGTGGTAATACCGCGCAGACGGCGCCGTGCCACTCGGGCTGAGCTGTTCCCAGCTGTTCGCCTGCGAGACATGTCTGATGCTGCGCATCTCTTCGTGGAAAATGCAGATCCAATTGGGACATAAGGTGCCACGAGGAGAACGCCCTGTGGCTGGGCTTTGCCTGCCTACCAACCAGTGCTTCAACGAAACAAGCACCAGGTCATGCAGTTACTGGGTCGGGAAGTGTTTAGCAGTCGAATCTTGCGTTGCATGGGCCATGACGAGCCAAAAGCTCGCGATGGCCCTCACTGGCCTGACGCCCGTAGAACCAGAAGTCGCCGAGATAGATGACATTGCCTCAGTGAAGCCCCCAACCCCCCGCCCCAGCACACCGCAACGCAGCCTGCTGTCGTGCTGCCCCTGACGTGCTCTCAGGGCCCGGGCCGTCATAACGTTCCCCACCGAACACGTAGAATCCGTCCGCCTCCGGACTCCACACCGCTGGGGTGAGACGGCGTCCGGATGGCGGCGTGCCGCTCGGGCTCAGCTCCTCCCAGCTGTTCGCCTGTGCAGCGCATGTGCGACATTCTGCTGAGGTTATTAAGCATCGAATATCTTGGCACGGTTGGATAGGGAGAAGTTCTTGGTCTTGCACGACGGTGTGTTTGAGCACGCAAGCCACGCTTTACCTGCTACACAGCGGCCTCGACCCGCCGGGCCAGAATGAGGAACAGCCAAAGCCTCCACTGGCACAAAGACTCGACGCACATAACTGCACAGTGGTACAGCAACACGGACGAAGGAGGCAGTAAGCATCTCCACCCGGGCCATCAAACGACGGGCACAAGCGACGGGTGGCTATACGTCTTGCACGACTTGCCGCTTGCTCCTCTTGAACCTAGCGGCCTACCGACATCAGCATACGTTGACTCACGAGCAAGTATACAATCCTGTTGCAGATTCTTCTGTCCCGAAGCGCTACACCTTCGCAAATGTATGTGGAAACCACAACTGCTTTGATAGCAGACGAAGGCAACGTCAAAGGCCTGGGCCACCTTACCCTTGCTCCGGCTACTACCATGCAAACTTGCAATGGGGTACAAGAGCTTCCCTGTGGGTAATTGCCAGAAGCGCACAAAGCAAAGTTCCAGCTTGTAAGGCTGCGGTCAATAAGCTGATTGTAATGGGCTTGAGCGTCGTTCTACCTGGGAGTCTGCCGGCAAAAGCGGAAACCCTCCCTTGCCCATTGCGCCTCCACATGCCGGGCCACGAGGCTCAGAGAACGTCGGGATACTGCTCGCTTTTCGGGCATTCACTTCACAAGAAAAACTTGAGACAGCAATGTTGCGCGACGCAGCAGTCTTCCTCATAACATGAACATGAAGCAGCCCATACTTGCAGAAGAAATCCGAGGCTCACATGTCAAACTCCCGGCTAAGCCGGGATCTCGGCTATCTTTCCCCCAATTTAACTTCCAATTGCTCCAGGAGCTAGGACATTGGTTGACGAATGTATGGTCCCTTTTTGGGTCCTTCTTAATATGCTGATATTTAGGATGCCCAACAAAGGGATCATAATTTTAACAACCGCCCAGGAGACTCAAGATCTGCTCATGCTGAACGTTGGTTCATGCTGGACGTTGGTTCCACGTTGGGCTCTAGTCTGCACTCTTGACACCCGCGGATCTTCATCTGTCAGAGAAGTATGTGAGTGCAAGCTCGTATAATCTCGCATATGCAATGTTGGGCTGAAGTCATGACGAATGCACACACACGCTCGGACAAGTCTCGTTCGTTTGACCAACTGGCAGCCCGCTTTTTTGCAGTATTGTCCTGGCCTACACTGCGTGAGTCGATGGAAACGATGGCGGGGTGGCTCCCACGTTTCAAAAAACAAAAACCTGCCAAGAGTGTGGCGGCGTAGCGTCTCTGGCATCCGACCTAGGCCTCCGCGCTGAAGACCTGGCCTGTACGGCTTCTGCAATGAGCCGGACTCCTCGTGCATCTATGACGCTGGAGCACCGGCCCTAAACGCAAAACACCTGTGCGATTTGTAAGATAGCATCAAATCTTGTCTTGCAAAGGTACAGACATCTTGCTGGAGATGGATTCCAGATGTCACGCAGGTTCTTGCAAATCTCATTGCAGCTGTACATGTGGGAGGCATCTCCACCATTCCCGAGTAGCCGATTTTGTTTCTAAAGCGTGCGTTGCTGAGAGCGGAGCTGCCTCGGCGGTCTTCGGTGCGACTCTGCGGCTTCAATCTTACACATCAGGCAACCGAAGAACGAAGGTTAAGGCACACATCAGCAAACGCTTCCTTGATGCCTGCAAGGCATACTTCTTGTTTGCAGCACTCGGGGTCCGAGCATCGCCACTTCTTCCCACAGGCACCCTACTGTTGATGACATGTATATCCTGCATTACCCATAATTATAATGAATGTGCTATAATTGCCACAGTTTAGGGCCATGCAGGATTTGTAGCATCAACCGCATGAGTGCCAGGAGCGCCGTGAGCGCTGAGGATTGTAGTACCGACGTGGAGAAGCTTTACTGGCTGACACCCTTCGGGCTGGGTAGCGGCAGTCGATAGAGATGCGGTCGAAGGCAACAAGCTGGAGCTGGGTTGACGCTCGCACGCTGCTGCTGGAGCTGCCGCTTGACGGAGTTGGAGTTTCGATAGTCGATAGCTGTAGTGACTGTAGTGGTGGGCGAACCAGTAGCAGTCATCTCAGAAGTGGTCGACGACAGTACACTTGAGCTGGTGGGTGTGTGGCTTTGGGTGCTAGTGGACACTCCATGACACTCCAACGGTGCTGCTGAGGCTACTGCTTGACCCAGTTGTTGAAGCTCCGACAGCTTAGGTGGTGGCGGTCGACGACTGGGCTGGTGGATGTACATGATGTACTGCTCTGAGTGCTCGTGAACAACGTCACTTGTGCCGCTTGTGCCAGCTGCCAAAGGTTCTGCGACGTCGTCAGAGCAGCAGCTGTTCGGCGTTGTGGCACGGGTGCAACCGGGAGTGCACGCGCGAGCTGCCCGGGAAAGTGCCCCTTTCTTTCGAACGGCATTTCAATGTCGGCGGCGAATCTGTTTTGTAAAGGACGTGACCACCTCGCCCAAAGCTCATCCCATGACATGCGAAACCTTCCATATCAGCTTGGGCGGTGGTTTCGTGAATCGACGAAAGCTTGCCTTCAGTGGCTTGCGTGTTGCTGCAAGATCGCAGGGGACTTGCGAGAAGCACGTCAACAGGTTCGGCCGCTTCGGCCACCGCCTTATTGGACGCCAAAGGACCGAACACGTACGATCGGCCTATGCCTACAGCAGCCCTACGGCAGCCCTCCCCATCACCTCAAGGCTCGGAAAGGGCAAGATGGTCAGGAACCTGTACCAATGAGCCGAAGACCATGGAAGCAATACTTCACTGGCACCTTGCACGTTCGTCTTTGTGAAACAACCGACCAGCTTCATGGTAACTCTGAGAAAATTTCTCGGGGCACCAAAAGCCACGGCCCAAAAGCTCGGAATGCGCTTCTTGATTTGTCGGCATCACGAAAAGTGTCAAGCGAGCTGGCGGTACAAAGGCAGCAACACTAGCTCACTCAGAGGCAGGCGGCAGCCAAGACCCATCCAGAAGGGACGTTCAACAACCTGCCCTTCTCCATGGTCAGCGCACTTGCCTCCATTCCAAGCGTTTTCAGCGGTGCGGAGATTGAGGTGCCGCCGTCCAGGCTGCATCCCGCCAGCCAAGCCTGACAAATGCAAAGCAAGTTGGAGACAAGTCGCCCGTGGTAAAGTTTGCATGTGCAGCTCAACCGAACAAATCGAACAGGCCCTGCTGGCTGAGCCAATGGAGGAAACTTTCTCTGCTCAGACTATGAACATTAGATGCTCAGAATACGAACATTAGATGAAGCAGACTCCTCCACACATGCCGTGTTGCAGCGCGCACGCTGCAAGCACATGCTGTATCCCAACTCAGTGCTGGGCTCAACTTTAGTGTTGCATGGCCTGACCATTTGGAGCCAGAGTGGACCATCGCCAACCATGAAGCCAAGCGGCATCGTTTCAAATGATCCGCCAAGTGCTCGTCTAAACTAAACTTATGTCCACTTTGATTCCGAAGGATATGTGAATAATCCATGGCTGCAGCCCGAAAACTACCATGCTGTCATAAACTGAAACACACAGACACTTGAAACAACCGTTGGCACTAACATGGTGCGTTGGATCTTCATGGGCCGTGGGCTTGCGCAAAGTCCATCAAGCATCCACTCACAACCCCGCTCCAACATCGATGCAAGCCACTTGCTTCACATTCGACTTCAAGTTGATGCTTAATAACATTCGAGATCGAAACCTGCTTTACAAGAATCGCAACGGTGCAGCCAAACTTCCCCTAAAACGGGCTTGCCAAACCTGAAACA